TATATATATCATTCTGACTAGTTCAACTTGCTTATGAGGGATATACAGTTCTTCTCTATGTTCAAGTGAACATTACTTTTAGATGATTATTACAATAGTTAAACAAGATGAAAGGGTGGATTTTTTTTATTACTTTTTTTTGTTTCCATGTGGTCACAAATGGTCTCTTAGTGCTTAAGACAGCTGTAAATATTTTGACATTTATATGACTCTTTCATTCACCTTTTGTTCTCTTTTTTCCCCCTGCTTTGCACATCTGGAAACAATGTGCTGAATGCAGATGTGGTGTGTAAATCTACCAGTTGTTCTATCAGCTCCGATCAGTAGGAGAAAAGTCCTAAAACATAAAAGGCACAGTTCATCAAATCGGGAAGGAAACTGTCAAACTATCCAGGATGACTGCTTGTATGTGTGTGTGTGTGTGAGTATGGGTGTGTATGTGCTGTAAACAGCTTTGTGTGTTCTCTGATTGCATACTGGGCTTGTTCCTAGTGTAAACTTAGACTATAGGAAAATTACATTGATCACGTTTTCAATTCCCCGTTTTTATTTCTTTTGGTTTTATTGTCCTTGTTTTCCAGGAAGAGCAGGAGACGAGTTATACCATCCTACGTGCTCGAGGTTGCAATGTGACCCTGAATGGTCTGAAGCCCAACACGGCCTACCTGCTTCAGATCAGAGCTCGGACGGCTGCTGGATACGGAGCCAGCAGCCCCAGCTTTCAGTTTGAAACCAGCCCTGACTGTAAGCTCAGCACAGAGCTGTCTTTCATTTTTCATAAAACACAGACAGCACAAATACTTATCCTTTATAATAACAAACGGTGAGGTAATTAAGCCAATTTAATTTAATGTGCAACCTTTGGTTAAAATGTAGTCTCTATAGTTAAATAGGTTTCAGAACGCATAGATTTTAAGATAAAAATATTCTTAATAATACATTCAGCCAATTTGAATTTTCTAGTGAAATGTCATTTCAAAGTCCTTATTAACTGAATAGAGGAGCATGCTCATGTCATATTTGGTTATGCTTTATACAAAATAAAAAAAAATAAAAACATTTTGAGTGAGAGAAATTTAAAAAAGCTTTCAAATCAAACTATTCTACATCAGTTATAGGTTGCGCTGGTAAAGTGATTTTATTCCAGTTTCACATAGTTTATATCTGTAAACATATCATTTACATTTAATTTCAGCCAGGAATTAACTTTTTTAAACTGGTAACAGTGACTGTGTCACATTCAACAGGTTTATAGGAGAAAATGAGTCATGCTTTGCATTCCAGCTGTTTAGAAGTTGTCTTAAAAAAAAACTTTCATTTGCACATCTGTCGGACATATTGGAAAGTAATTGATCTTCGTTAGCAAAACTAAATTAACACAGGCTTTTATTGTCTGACTTTCAGCAGCCTTCTCGATCTCCAGTGAGAGCAGCCAGGTTGTGTTAATTGCCGTTTCCTCCGCCGTGGCCATCATCCTGCTCACTGTTCTGCTCTACATCCTGATTGGCAGGTTTGTCCTAAACCATACGTTCTCAGTTCTGAGCGCTGTCTCCTTCAATCACATCAATCCATTTACCCTCTGTCTTTGGACAAACTGATTGCAGGTTGTACGTTTTTTTATTTTTTATTATTAATTATTTTACTTCTAATATTTAAGGTTATTCATTTTCATTTTAAAACTTTTTTTTCCTTATTCCTGCACTTTATTGTCAAGGATTGTGTGTTGGTGGGCAGGTGTGTGCTTTTTTAAGCATGTCTGTGAGTTATGTGAAGAGTCTGGGGCGTTCAGACAGGACATACTGTAAATACATGGAACATTACAGGACTTGCTGATCCTCTTTGGGCTTATAAAGCTTGGATTTCACACACAGACTAATACAGGGCTCCCACCAGCCCCTAGGCTGAGCCGGTGGATGAAGTCTTAGTGGAAACTGTGGCTGCAGTTTGAATTTTTCTGTCTGAATTGGCAGGTTTTGTTGCCGCAGCAAATCCAAACATCCTGATGAGAAAAGGCTTCACTTTGGCAATGGACACTGTAAGTATGTTGTGCTATATTTTCCTTAAAAATGTTAGTGTGTTTTCTTCCACTTTTCATTTACTGGACCAAATATGTAATTACTTTAAAGTTATTTGTAATGTTTTATTTATTTTTTTTGTTTGTTTTTTGTTTTAATCAAGTTTTTCTCAATAGATCTACAGACCTTTAATTATAGTGATTCCTTAAGATCAAACTATTTGAGTCAGATTATTTAGTTTCTACTACAAAAGAGGTTAACTTCATTTAAAAGGTACTTTTTTCTTTGTTAAACTAACTTGGAACTGTTTTTCAATCTAAAAAAATGCACATATTACCATTTAAGTTACCACTTTCTTTTTTACACGTGCATTTTCCAGACATATTTTATGCAAGTTTGTCATAAAACATTATTATGCTTACATGCCCACTGGATTCCTACAGACTCTTTAAATTAAAACAAGTTCAAGTTTACAAGGTTGGATTGGAGGATACAAATAAGTACTTTGTATACAGTAACATTTGTGAAGATGGCTTATTGTGCTATTTGTAAAATAAAAACATTTAGCATGAATTGACCCAGTTTTAAATCAGCCAGCTGAATATCAAATCCCAAAAATAAGTTTTATTTGTTCTTTATGAGACAAAAAACACGGTTCGCAATACACATTTTATATGTATGTTCACATTTAAAGTAAATTATGTCAGCATTAAAGAATTTTTACATATCCTCTTTTAACTGATGGAGTTTTTTTTTATTTTATTTTGCTGCTGCAGTGCGTCTGCCAGGTATCAGGACTTATGTGGACCCCCACACGTACGAGGACCCCAGCCAAGCTGTTCATGAGTTTGCCAAGGAGCTGGACGCTTCTTGCATCGCTATTGATAAAGTCGTGGGAGCAGGTGAGGCAGAGCAAAGAAACAGTTTATTATAACCATGCAAACATGAAGTCATTTATTTTTGGCATTGCTTTATTATTATTATTATAAAGAGCTTGAAATGCATAGTAACTGTAATTTCAGGACTGCAACCTGCTGCTTTTTTTTCCCCCAGACTTTGAACACTGCGGTTTATACAATGCTGCGGCTAATTTATTTATTTTTTTGATGAGCTGAAAAGCTTCATGCCGCAAAAACATTTAGCCTTGTCACACCCGGGTGCTCACACAGCTGCCCAATACATGGCTCTCTTGGGGGGGGGGGGGGGGGGGGGGGGGGGGGGGGGTCCTCGTGACTCAATGAGACTACCTGTATAAATAAAGGTTAAAACAAATCTGTCTAATGAAATTACCAAAGAGTGGACCAGTGAAACTTGCACTGGGGAGGGGGTGGGGACTTTTTTAAACCCCCCGTTCCCTCCTCCCTTCCTCGTTGTTTAATCAGCCGTGCTACAGGCAATGATCAGAATAAATAAATAAATACAATTTACTGTACGTATTTGTATATGTATCCGGTACATATTAAAAGTTTAAAAATATATATTTCTGAGTAAATCTTGTAAATGTTACAAAGTGAACACTGGTGGCTTATACGCAAGTGCAGCCTATATATGTACTTTTTTTTTTCTTTTTTAATTTAGTGGGCGTGGCTTATATTCATGTACTTAGTACTCCAGAAGTTACTGTAACTTGATAATAATATAGCTCTGTTGCAGTAACCAACATTTGCATTTTAATGACGTGTTTAAATTTTTCTTGTTGACTTTGTGATATCCAAACGATACATTACCTATTTCTTTATTAATTTAAATAAATAAATAATAAATCCAATGTAGATAACATACATCTGTCACCCCTGATGTCCTGAAATATTGATATTATTGCACACTTTTTTTTTTTTTTATTCCTTTGTTGCAATTACCAGTAGGGCATTTTACTTTGTTAGTTTTTCTAACTATTTAAATGATAAAGATGCCTATGCAGAAAAATGTAGTGCACTATGGTTTTCTGTGTTGAATATTGCACAGCCAGGGATGAAAAAAAAAAAGCATTTATTACTTCACCTCAACAACTTTTGTCTCCATTTCTTTCCTATGACAGAAAGGAAAAGAACGTAAAAAGAGAACATCTTTACCTGCTTTACATCTTTCTTTGGCATTACATCACTTTCCCTCACCTATTACTTTCTGTTTTGTAAATCTTACTTTAAGTAATAATTACGAAAATAAAATGTTCTTCTTTTTTTTCTGGTTTTATAATCCTGACCAGAGCAGGGGTGCAGTCTGGAGGGTAGTGCATTATGATTCTTGTTGAGTTCAGGCAGAATAGATAGAGTCTAAAGCAGATAATAACAGACTGGTCTCCAGAGTCCCACCAGCCCCTCATGTTGTAAACCTGTCAGGATGGCCTGACAGAATTTTACCCGGCTACATGGGACTATATTACAGAAAGTGTTTCTCATTTTCAAAGGTTGAGAGAAAACTTAATAACCATTGCACATGTAGGACATACATGTGCTGGCAATTACATTTAACTTGAAGCAAAATATAAATAATATTTCACATTTCATTAGAAAAACAACAACTTTTGTTTAATCCACATTTGTTGAAAGACAATTTGAGTTCAAAATATATTTTATTGCCTTTTTTTTTTTTTTTTTGCATTATGCTGACTGTTTGTCCTCAGTACCAACAATACATAATTAAATAAAAATACTGCATGTAAGGAAACTTTATGAATGCAAATGCAACAGGAAGATAAGAACATGTACCTTGATAAAGCTTTTACCTTCTTTTGTTGGATTCTTAAAAATGTGAGCTAAGCACCAAAGTTGAACAGATTCAGATTAAGCCACAGCATAAACTTTGTGGTCATTGAGCTTTAGGCAACATACCACCCAACTGTAATACATTTGTGAAACCACTGTATACAATATGCTGTATACATTCTTTCTCCAACCCTGGTTCAGGCTCCAGCAGTTTTCATCAAACATGCTAACTTTGGTCGTGTTGCCATGTTGTGATTTTGTCTTAAAAGCTAAAACAATCACACGCACTGCCCTCTAACATGTGTCCAACTTTAAAACCAAATATGTATTTTTATTACAGAAACAGAAAATGCATCCTCAATCAAGCCTTATTAGAGTAAAATCTTCTTTCTCAGATTGACCACATGAAAAAAAAAAGTGGCTCTGTTCAGCTCGCCTGTCTGCAGCTGAGCGCTGAATGAACAAAGCAGAGCAGGAAAAACACAGACGTGCTTTCAATAATTAGATGGGTTGTAATTATTCTGGCTTAAGCTCTTCCAGACATCATTGCTTCATGTCCAGGGTGTGACCCATGCTCTCTGATCCAAAGCTGCCTGTGGAAATGTTTGAACTAGATTGAGACAGAGGTCTGCACATCTTAGCTCTGACGTCACCTTGCATGAACACACAGTGTGCATATACCTTTTTGTTTAACGCACACGTTCAGATACACTCACACACTCCACTGACCTTCTAAAGTCCCATCAAAACTCTGTCACATAAAGTAAAAACAACCAGTTGAAGAAAAAAAAAAACTTTATTACCTCTTGTAGACTTGATTAATTAATTAAAAAAAATCATACCATTGTATTTATAACGCACTTAAAACAGCAACAAGGCCAACCGAAGTGCTGTACAGCAGAAACCAACAAGCAAAGCACACAGCAAAAAAACAAAACATAGATCCATATAGAAGAAGATAATTAAATGGCTAACATTATAAAATACAGACAGGTGAAAAACAAATCACAGAATGTCAAGAACCAGGGAATAAAAGTGTTTTTTTTTTTTAAGTGAGACTTAAAAACCGTGAGAGAGAAAACCTGCCTGACATGTAGTGGTAACTCATTCCACAGTCTTGGACCTGCAACAGAGAAGGCCTGTCATCTATGAGCTTAAAACGGGTTCCTGGAACAAAAGAAGCATCAGATCTGCTGACCTCAGAGAGTGTTGTGGGACATATGGCTGCAGCAGATCAGTGAGATAAGAGAGGGCAGAAATGTTCAGAGATTTAAAAGCATACAGAAGGATTTTGAACTGAATGTGAAAGTGAACCAGGAGCCATGGCAGGGAGGCCAGAACTGGTGTAATGTGCCACTTGTAAATGGTGTAAAAATTATAATGACCCCTATTGCCGATATGAGTCGTTAAATGTTTCACAAAGACAAGAAACCATTTTAATATGTACTATGAAAGGCCATCAACAAAACATTTTGTATCAGCAACTTTTTTTTTTTTTTTCTGATTTCATAATGAGCCTCTCCTAAAACTGTTATTGCAATTTAGGCACCTTCTCAAAATCCGTGCAAAAACTGTGCAACCTTCACGTCATGCTTTACAACAAACATACCTTAACAAATGACAAATGAAACTGGTTTAATAAAACACATTTGGTGTGTCTGAATACGTCAGAAATGATCGAGTTAGCTAGTGAATCCATGAGCATCTCGCTACAAAAGGCAATCTGTCCGAGTTTAATGTAATTCTGCTTGCACAGTAAAAGAACTACTAATTGAAATTAGTGAGTAAAATTAATTATGAAAGGGTTTTTTTTTTTTTTCCTGCTTGCATTAGTGTACTTGTCTGACTAATGACGTGTGTGGTTGCATGAAGATATTTGATTCTGAATCAATAAGATTTAGATGCATCAGCTACACAACGGTTCATGCAAGAGACAAGCAATAACATTCTTGTTTCTGTAATTTAGCTTTGTATTGATGATGCACAACATTTTGATTAGCAAAGTTCAGTTGCTTAAACTTTAGAATGATAGACCAGTCATAATTCACTAGGTATAACATGTGCATCTGATTTCCACACATTGATCTAATGAGCTAAGTTAAATGTGTCCCTTATCATGTAAACTGTGATCTACAACTTTTTTTTTAATCAAACAAAGCTGCTCTTAAAGGTCTTGTCCTCTGATCTTAACAAACAATTGGACACATTAACATTTTTTTTTATTGATTTGCTTGTTTGTAGGAGAATTTGGAGAGGTGTGCAGCGGTCGCCTGAAGCTGCCCAGCAAGAAGGAGATCTGCGTAGCCATCAAAACTCTTAAAGGAGGGTACACAGACAAACAGAGGCGGGACTTCCTGGCGGAGGCATCCATCATGGGGCAGTTTGATCACCCTAACATCATCAGGCTGGAGGGGGTAGTAACCCGCAGTAAGTGCATTTACAATGTGCGAGTGCACAAACGGCAAATGGCTCATGCAAATGACGTGCTAGTTACTGCTAAAATACACATCGCCAAATAAATATTTGAGGTTTTGTTTTGTGTTAGATATCTGGTCAGCCCATTGTTTTTGAAATTGATTTTCTTTATGAAGTTATAATCTAACCTCGGAAGAGACGCAGTCAAAGACAGAAAGTTTGCATTCTGCCTCTGGAACGAGCCATTCTTACTGATTACAGATTTGCAATTGTCTTTGACAAATGGCTTTAAAATGTCCGACACCTTTGTGAAAAAGCGACAAGTTTTATTGAGCTACTGTGGTATAAGTCTCTGGAGATCAATGTGCCCTGATCAAAGTCTGGATCCTAAGCAAGTATAAATCCATAAATCCATATTTCTGACTTGCACCCCTTTGGGCCTCTTTATTAGACTATCATTAGGACACAGAAGGCCTCTTTAAAGGGAAAGACAGAAGAAAGAAGGAAATAATGAGTCTGAACTTAGTTGCAGAGAAACAGGCCTGGCCTCTATTTCTCCCTGCGGCACATGCCTTGTTCAGCAGTTCAGCCATTATGATTATTCCCAAAACCAGAATAAAACACCTGAAGAAATTATTCTTATAGTTTCTTTGATTTTTTTACTCCTATAGTTTGACTTCCTTCTTATTGTTTTCACTTTTTATTCACTTGCTGAAACTCAGTGAATTAATTGGTCCGTTAAATATAAGAGTTTGAATTATCTTTCCTAACTGCTGAAAAAAATAATATATATATATATATATATATATATATATATATATAT